ATCTTTAGTTTTTTGAAACATAATTATTTAATCAAGATTTGAAAACTTGAAATATTATGTTGGTTTTTTAAAAAAAAAACACCGCCATTTTAAAAGGGAATCAATTCATGTAAATGATTTTCGTGTTACAATTGTTTCAATTAAATGACCAAATGATTTTTTCTTCAGCAAAATTAAAAAATGTAATGACATTTTCGAATAGCTATATACGACTTTACATAGAAAGTTCCTTTTGACATAAAAAAACATTCATTAGAAGCTTGAATGATACAGTTTTAAAAATATGTATTCAAATTTTTAATTTATATATATATTAACATAACACTCAATTTACAACGTTCAGTGGCTGTTTGTGATGTTTCTATTTATAATCTTGTATGATGGATGAACAATGTTAATCAAAAGTTTTTTGAAACCCATATGTTCCTAGTACAAACCCCCCCATATGCTTCAAAATGTTACACGATATTTTTGATTTATACTGTACTATGACAAAAATCGCGCGTATGTTATTATTATAAATACTCGTGATTAAATACTAATATTTTCTTATACACCTTTGTATTTGTCATTCCTTTAAATAATTAGAATAATTATAATCTTTGCTAGTGATTTTTCCATTTATAAATAAAAATGGCTGGAAAAAATTTTGGTTCAATAGCATTTTTAATACTTTTTTATGTAGTTCTTCTAAATTATCAGCCTACAAATTCTTATAATATTACCACATATAATGATAATGAAGCTGGTCTTCATGTATTTAATTCATTGTTTTATAGAGATGGAACTCTAGTTATTTATATGGTTAAACCTATTAATGAAGCATGCATTGAACCAAAATTTTATATTAGAGTTATTTATGCCAATGGAACAATTGAAACCTCCACCCAGATATATCCAATACCTGAATTCAACTTTTGCCAGATCATCAAAATAAATAGACTATTACCAAAATATGCACTGATGGTTTATATGAATTCTACAGACATTAGTTCATCGGCTAATTATGGGATCTTGTTATCCAAAAATGGAGAATTCATTAGGTAAAGAATTTATTAAGATTCATTAAAACAAATAACTATTTGTTTGATTAAACTAATTTATTAAATTTGACCCAGTGAATTTTATATAGACAAATCAAGTTATACTAGTGATGTACCTGATGGTCCATGTATGTTTACAGAGAATGGAAATCTCGATGGAAAATTTTTGATGATAAACTTTAAAACAGATTCAAATGACTATCAATGGATCCATTTTAGTTCTCCGTAATTATTGTTTTTTAAAAAAATTAATTAATTATTGTAATATTGATATAAATATATGTTTATTAACATTTTTAGAGATAAAAATGGAGAAATAAATAAATTGAAAACTGGAATTATTACTCAAGCACCATTTGAGTATGGAGATGTTATATTACGAACTACTTATTTTCCAGCTTTAAATAATGGATATGGACTTGTTATTGCTAACACAACTATTACTGAAAATAATAATAATACAAAAAATATTAAACCCAATCAACCACCAATATCTATATATGTTTTTTTAATATATCCTGATAAAGATGAAGTAGTCGGACCATTTTTGATATATCAAACCACAGATACAGAAATAGAAATTACAGATTTAATATGCTCTACAGCACTTACTGGCTCAGGATACATGTGCATATTAAGTTTATCAAAGGTTGGAAAAGATAAAAAAAACCCTCAAATTTATTGGATGAAAATTTCATTTCTATCAAATGGGTAGGTAAGCTTTTATTGAATATCAAACAATACTATTATGTTAATTAATATTAACCTAGTTTATTAGTGCTGTTACAGGAACTGAGCCATTAAAATTTGACCAAATCCAGGATTTTACTGATTTATCATTAGTCACACTATTTTATGGTGGATTTTTATTCAATATTAATTCACCAAGTAAAATCTATAAAAATAAATACACAACTTATGGTTATATTTTAGATAATAATTTGAAGATAAACACAACTTTAGATCTGCCAAGTAATTTGACACTTCCATCATTTTATCATGGTTTTGTATTCAATAAAAATTATGGAATCTTTACTCAGAATAATACATTTATTGCTATTATACCCAATGAAAATGATAATAAAAGTTGGGACTTAATTTCAACTGAAATTCCTAAATTCCTACCAGATGGTAATGTTCTTTTTATATTATTATTGAAAACATTAAAATATTAATGTCTAATTAAATAATTGTTCAAATAAACATTTGATTATTAGATAAAGGATATAGTAATCCAAATATTGGAACAACTTACCCATTAATAAATGGAGTAATAGGAATAGCAAGTCAAGAAATCAATGTAACATACAATACACCAATAGTTCCATCTATTAACAATATTTCAATATATCAAATAAATAATAATGATCAAGTCATTTTGAGGCAATCATTCCCAGCTGATTCCTCATATTGTAAAATAAGTGATGATAAAAAAAGCTTGATTATTCAAATCTTAACAAGTACATTTAACCTTCCCAATACAAGCTATTATGTAGTAGTTGAGGATGGTGCATTAAAATTATCTTCTACTGGCCAACCATTGATTGGAATTCGTAAAAATATATGGAAATTTACTACAGGTAAAAATATTAGTGGTTGTGTCTTTTAAATGATAATAATAATAATTAATTAATAAATTGATTGCATTTTAAAGATAATTTGGCTATTAAATATGCAGGTAAGAATTATTTGTATTTTCATAAATACATTTGAGTTTAATTAACCCAATATTTATTAACAGTTAATTTTTTTACTAAAATTCATTAGATCCAGCAAATGGTATTTTAAGACTCGATGTAGAGGGGACAAATTTATTTAATAATTTAAATTCAACAAGTAAACCTGAATTTATTAAAAATTTAAAAAGTGAATTTGCCAATTTAACACCAATCAACCCAACTCGTTTGAATTTTATTAAAGATCAGATGGATTATTCAACATCACCACCAACTTTATTGTTATCATTTGAGATTTTAAAACCTAATGATAATGAAGATCCACATGAAATAAATGTTTCCCAAGTCATGGATACTTTAAATACATTAATTAAAAATAAATTTATTACTGGGATATCAAGTAA